AATGGAACTGATTTATGCCTGAAAAAAAACTGTAAGAACCACCATCTCTAACGTCAACACTGCCTAGAGTGTTCAACTTTACATTTTCATTTGGTTGACATTGAAAGGTTGGCTAATTAATATTTTTTTTTATCTTAGTACAAAGACCAAGATTGTTTCCTTAGAGACCAAATGCGAAAAAACTTTACGAATAATCGCATTTTTTAATTTTTACTGTAAACCATGTTTTTGCCTTATTTTTGCATTTTAGCTTTATCATGGCTCTAAAATCTAACATTTTGTCTGTGTTGAAAGCTTAATGATGCGACCAATCTTGATTTTTTTTAAATGTTAAAGAAAGTGTATAAAAACTTGCACAAATAAACCTTGTTTAAGTGATGATAATAAAATCTAAAATAAACCTTGAGAAGACGAATTTATCTTCATTTTGAGAAAACTTTCTACTCTTAATTTGCTAATGATGATTCATCGTCGATACTAGAAGGTTTTTCTCGCCTTGTCTTGTAAAGGCAGCTTCAATCTCGATACAAAAGGTTGTTTATGCAAGCTTAATGCGAACTTTATGAACCTCATTGCGCATAAACTAGGTTAAATTTAACATTGCTTCAAGCTGGTATGGTTTATTTGCTAATCATTTATAAACTTTCTTGAACTTTGTGATAAATGTTGTTGCTGACATTAAAATAAACCTTACTCTGCTATCTGGGATATAAATTACAAGGTATAATGCAATCAGTAAATTTTTTTCAAATTATATGGTTTTGTTTGGAGTTTTTTTAAAATTATGTTTGTTTATTTCCATAGGCACACAACCCTCAGACTGAAAAATGGTGATATTGTGCCTTGTTCCATAATTTTTTATTAAAATAAATAATAATTATTTTCGTATTTTTTTAAATATGCTGTTATTAACAATAAAATTTAAAATTATTTTCTCAGTTTCAAAATAAAGAAAGAATAAATTTATTAATTTATTATCATTAAATTACTTTCTAACATATTTTTTGCTTAATTCAGTTACAAATTTTTTTAAAATTTGGGTAAAAATTTGAAAAATAATAATTTACAGTAAGTAAATTATTATTATTTAAATTTTATAATTAGAATTAGTAAGTAGTTAATGAGGGGAAAAGTATCCAACATATTAATGTATTTAATTTTATACACTGATATACATATTTATTCTATAATAATTTATATTACTTACAGTTAATACATTATAGTAATTTAAAACGTCATAAGTTCTTTAAATGCTAAATTACCAGGTTTCATGATACTCGACTTTTAGTGGCACAATTAAAACCATTTCTTCTTAAAAAAAAAGAAAAAAAAGAGATAGTGACATAGGAGATTGAAATGAAATTAATTAGATAGTAAAAAAAGAGCTATGGCTTGCAAAATAATTAATTAAATTATTTAATTGCGAAGCTTTTACATCCGGTAACTATATTTACTAAAGTAAATTTAAATTTGAGAATAATAGTTACGCATTTCGCCTTTAAATTTTAATAACGAGTGTATAAAAATTATCACCAAAATAATTTTAATTCTACTGACCGTGATTAATTAAGTAGCTACGATTGACGATAGTAATAAATGCAATAGTTAATTATAAGAGGAATTTACATAGCAACCTTTTTATCTTAGCAACCAAACATTAATGTATAAAAAGATTTAAGACATCATTTTAAGTTAGTATTGTTTATTTATAAGGTAATTATTAAGCAGTAATAACTTAGAATACAATTATTCATTATAAGGTTATAATAAAGCAGTGATAACTTAAATGATTAATTATAAGGTTGTAATTAAGCAGTAAGATAATTTAAATTGAGCACAAGCGGAACTATGATAAAACGAACAATCCAACCATTATCTTCATATTTATATCATTGATCGAATTAAATGGGCTGTCGCCAGCGTATCTAACTCACTTGACAATGCATCAGGGAAGAGGGGCCTAATCGTCAATGAGGCTTAATTTAACACATAAAACGACCGATTTAGCAAAAACTATACTTTTGGAAAGGTAAATCTATTTTAATATTTGGGCATAGTAATTTATAGCAGTAACGGGTTTAAATTCGAAATTTAAAAAAAACAAAACAGAAACGGATGGTTAATGGATATTGCTATCGCCATGGAAACCAACTTGACCTTAGCAGTTATGATAAATTTATAGAGATGTCTAAGTCAGAGGCAGAACTATATTACTTAGTTATTACTATTCAATTAATTGCAGTAATATTGCATTTTAGTCCTTGACAACTAGTTCTTGACGCTATTTCTTTTTTTAAATTTAACGTATTCCAATTGGATACCAGTAGTAATTCTCAAAATGTCCATTTGTGTTCCTTTATCCTCTATCACTTAGTGAAAAAAGGACACAAACCGTTATCCCCACTTGTTCTTTGTATATTTTTCTCGCTGTTTAACTTTAATCGAAATCGATTTGATTCAAATGTTCAAATGCATATTTTACTATGCTGGGTGCAAGTTAGGAAGTATTATACAGTTCTAATCACGGGGCCAAATGACGACTGTCACAAACTAATTTTTTTAATTCTTCGTTTTCCTTGAAGTTGTAATTATATAAAAACATTCACTAACATCTTTCAAAAAGTGTCAAAATGATCGGTTCTATTAGTAAAAATTAAAATTGTTTAAACTTTGTAAGAAGTGGTAGTCATCAGCAAAAGCTATTTGAGTTTAAAAGAGGGCAGATTGAGTCGGTGGGACAAAAAAAAATGTAAAAGTATTTGACATTTCGAAACTTAAAATATACTTAACGACAGGTAGCATAAAAGTTTCAACATCAAGAGGATACACTCACAAAAAATAACAAAAAGCTAAAATTAAAAATTAAAAAAAGAAAGCAAAAAAGCCGAAAGTAGAAGATTGACAACTCAACAAATTAAGAAAAAGTTTAATTTAATTCAGAAACAAATTCCTTCACTGAACATTTCAAAAAGAACTTAAATTTTCTTTGCTCTTGAAAGTCGACAAAGCACTAAATATTAAATGCAATGGTAGTCATTTCATAAAAATAAATAAAAAATAATGATTTAATGGTGTGTTTATCAACTTAAAAATATATTTAACATGCATGCACTTTAATAAGTTTATAAAACGAATTTTTAAGAAAGGACATAATAATTTTTAATTTTATAAAATATGGTTAAATTTTATTTGTATTAAATTTAAATCGGTGTAGTTTTATGAAACCTCTTTAAGCCAGAAGTAGCTACAGGTGTTCTGAAAGAAACTAACAACTCAACTTCATATAATTTGAATGAAAATCCTTATTTGTTTTGAATTTTGAGAAGACCTTACTTAAGTTTTTTTCCTTCATAGAATCAGGCAAGAAAACAAAATTTTCATGTGAATTCTTTCCGTTAAAAAAAAAACTCAACTTAGTTTTATATAATTTGAACGAAATTCTGTTAATTATTCTGGATATTGAAAAGATTTCACTAAAGTTCTTTTTTTTTTTTTTATTAAATCAGGAAGAAAACGAAATTCTGATACTTCGATTGATAATGAAACTACTGAATTATTGATGAAGTTAGTGAAATAAAAATTTAAAAAAAGTTTTGCTTTTTATAAAATATGCTTTTATTTTATTTCAGTTGTAGATTCAAGTCTGTATAGTTTAAAAAGACCTCTTCAAGTCGGAAAGTTGCTACAGGATGTTCAGAAAAAAACTCAAAACTCACTTTTATGTAAATTGGAATGTATCTCTTTTGAAATTTGAAAAGATTTTGCAAACAATTTTTATTGAACCAAAGAAGAAATAGAAATTTGCAGGTCTACTGCTTCCTTTGAAAAGTAAAGGTCTCAGTTTCATGAAATATACCTCAATTTTATTACAAATGTAGATTTAAGTCGGCATAATTAAAAAAAATCTCGTCTTAGAGAAAATCTCAAGAAAGTTTTTTTTTTATTGAATCAGGATAGAAAACGAAATTCTCATGACTAGTCCTTCCTTTAAAAAATGAAGAAAAAAATTTTAATTTTGAAAATATGCTTTAATTTTATTCCTGTTATAGATTAAAGTCTGAATAGTTTAAAAAGACTTTATGTCGGAAAACCGCTACAAGATGTTAAACTTACAACTCAACTTCATATAATTTGGAAGAAAATCAATATTTCTTTTGAATTTCGAGAAGATTTTGCTTAAAGTTTTTTATTTCTCAGGTAAGAAAACAAAATTATTATATCTACTACTTCCATTAAAAAAAAAAATTTAATTTTATAAAATAAAGGTTTTTAAATTTTATCTCAGCTGTATATTTAAGCTTGTAAAGTTTAAAAAAACTTTTTAAAACGAATAGTTGCTTCATGACATTCTTGAAGAAACTTACAATTCAACTTTACATTATTTTAAGAAAATCCATATTTCTTTTCGAATTAGAGAAGGTTTTACTAAAGAATTTTGTAATGAATCTGGGACGAGAACAAAATTCCCGTCACTACTCATTTCATTAAAAGAATTTAATTTCATAAGATATGCTTCAATTTTATTTCAGTTGTAGATATAAGTCTGTATAGTTTAAAAAGACCTCTAAGTCGAAAAGTAGCTAAACTTACAACTTAACTTCACGTAATTTAGAAAAAATCCGTATTTCTTCTTGATTTTTAAAACATTTTACTCAAGTTTTTCATTGAATCAAGGAGAAAAAAATATTCTCATATCTACTCCTTCTATTTAAAAATGGTAAAATTTTTTTTTAACTTTATTAAATGAACTTTAGTTTTATTCCAGCTGTGTATTAAAGCCTGCATAGTTAAAAAATAATTCATGAAGGCTCAAAATCACAACCGGATCTTTCGGAAGAGACTTACCACTTAACTTCAGGTAATTTGGAAGAAAATCCATATTTTTTCCGGTTTTTGAGAAAATCTCACTAATATTTTTTTATTATTTTTTATTTTCATATTGAAAAAAAAATTCTATGTCTGCTCCTTCCATTAAAAAATGGTAAGAAAATAATATTTACCGTTTTTCTGCTTGATACACACTCAACACTAGTATCAGGTACAGCCGCTGTTGTCAGCTCCTCAACAGCGACGAGTGCGGGTGGAGCAGCGGCAATTCCGTTTCCGGAATCGCCGTCGTTGCTAATGTCCGTAACGTCCACTTCATCGTGTTCGTCGTCGGAGGACATGCCGCCGCAGCAACTTCCACAACGACGCCGTTGCTCGGGACCGCCGCCGTAAGCAGTTGTGGTGTCTGCATCAGAGTCGATCCTTGGGGGCGACCTGCGACCCACAGGGCGAAATGCTGACGTGTGGACAGGTGTCGATCTCAGGGGGCTTCCGGGACTATCATGATCGGGAAATGAGATGGATGTCCCTTCACTGGCAGACGATAAGGGTCGACCTGTGGGGAGAAAAATCGATGAGATCTAGAAAGCGATTAGAAAAAGAAATTAAGAATTTGTAAATCCAAACGAAAAACAGTTTTTAAATGTTTTTAACTTAAAATATACAGCAAATATCACAGTATTGAGTAGCACATTATATTAACATGCAAAATAATAAAAAACTTTAACTGACAATATTAAATGATTCATAAATTGTTAAACTTTTCTTTCGAAAAAAGGCAACATAAAATGATTTATAAAATGTAAAAATATTCAGTTTTTTAGAAGAAAAAGGCAATATAAAATTTTCTATAAAATGTGAAAGTTTTTATACGTTTTTTTTTTCTTCTTCGGAAAAAGACAATATAAATTTATTCGTAAATTGTGATCAATGTATAGATTTTTGTTTGAATATAGATTGTAAAAAGTCAAAAGCTTACGCTTATTTTGATAAGGGTGATATAAAATGATTCATTAACATTAAAATTCTTATGCTTTTTCGAAAAGACTCATTAATTGTAAAAATGTAAAAGTGATTAATATTGCAAAAATACTTTCTTGAAAACCTAACTAAGAGTTCCAACTATAATAAATATAATTTGCAAAAATATAAAAGTGATTAATATTTGCAAAAGTACTTTCTTGAAAACCTAACTAAGTGTTCTAACTATTATAAAAATAATTTTCAAAAATGCAAAAGTGATTAATATTGATAAAGTACTTTCTTATAAACCTAACTAAGGGTTCTAACTAAAGTAATAAACAATTTTTTTAGATATTTTTTTATGATGCCATCATTGAAATTTATGTTAAAAAGTACATGCTGCATATTAAAATCCATACAAGTTTACACAAATGTATAAATACGAGCATGAATACAGATATACTGATAAATATTTATCAAAATTCATTTCAAGAAATTTTATTTTTAAAACTAAACAATTTTAAAACTTTTATTAGTTTTTATATTTTTACTTATTACTTAAAATTAAAAAAAATGCAATTAAAACATGTGTATTTCAAGTTGCGTATTTTGTTTCCTGTTAGAAAATAATATTTTTAAGAAAAACATCATTAGCGAAGAAAGCGAGACTGAGATCATCAAGACCTGTTGCTCTGTTAAACGAAATCGAGAGGAATTGAAAGGCGATTATGAGAAATACTATCTTTTCTAAACTATTGTTTTATTCTTATTATCCTGTAACAAATAAACATTTTTTTAAAAAATTTGCTTATAACTGGATAACATATCATTGATTAACTTTCAAAAAGAAGCAAGGACTTAAAAATAAAAGAAACATTTGCTTTTATTTTTGTACATGGTCATATAGAGGATTCCATTTGCAGTTTGAGTCCCTAAAAGTAGCTGAAGATTCTGAAACGTGTATTAAGACTTTTTTCAACTGAGATGTTTTTTTTTTCCCCATTGATTTGAATAAAATGTAAAACAGTTTACTACTGAAAGATCACATTGAAATATAATTTCTTTAAAATTAGAGACAATTTCCTCACAATTCAATGAATTTTGCGAGTCGAAAACGGATATTTGATCAAATCTCTGGGGTAGATGATCAATGCACGACAGATGTTAAAATTACAACACTGAGAGGTGATTTCCCAGATGAAAATAAGTGATTTGATCAAATCACTTACTTTCATTCGGACTACTTTACTTACTTTCATTATTTCAACTGTCTTAGTGAAAAGACGAAATAAACAAGTTGGACGGAAAAAAAAATTAAATAAACAAAAGATGAAAAAAACATACGAATTTTTACTTAAGTTTAAATTTAAAATAATAGCTTTTTAAAGTTCAATTTTTTTGTATCATTATATCTATTGATGATATCATCATGTGTATATGGCTCTTGATACTAATCACTTTTTATTATTTTTAATAATCAGATTGATCAAGGGAAGTTTGTGTCATTGTCCTGTCTACCCTACAGTGACGTTTTCAAGGTTAAATGCCACTGCCTAGTACACAAATGCCACGGTATTTAATACGATTATGTGCCACTACCCGGTATACATTTGCCCGGAAAATCCAGCACTGATGTGTGATTTTTTTTTAAAGATTAAGTACATTAAAAAAAGGGAATCGTAAAAAAAAAAAAATAAAAAAAAAATCAAAACCTTTTAGCGCAAAGCATTCGCACAATTTCTCACTTCTTGCACAACAATTGCTCGCGAATATTACCATAACGCATGCGTATTATAACCGACTCTATCCGGCAAATAGGGCTGTCTATGGGCTGAGAAGATTTATTAAATCTAGGTTTCTTTCTAGAAAAACAAAGTTCTTAATCTACGAAACTCTTGACCGGCCAGTGCTGACATACGCTTCTGAAGCTTGTACAATGACAAAACTGGAGGAAAATTGTATCGCAACATTTGAGAGAAAGATTTTGGGGAGCGTACATGGTGGTGTAAATGAAAACAATAGTTGGAGAAGGAGATTTAACTTTGAACTGTACAAGATTTATAAACAACCTGATATTATCAAATACATAAAAATAAATATAATGAATTGGATGGCCCACGTGATTCGAATGAGCTATGACAATACAATGAAAAAGCTACTGCTTTTTGGACCCAACTGGAACAAGAAAGCGGGGAAGACCGAGGTTGAGATGGGCTTACTCACTGGAGTCTGATTTTATTGCAATTAATGAAAAGAATTGGAGATCAAAGATAAATCGGAAGTCGTCATGGAGAAATCTTCAGAGGAAGGCATAGGCTCACATCGGGCTGTCTGGCCAACTATGATGATGATGATGCATGCGTGTTGCAAATTTTTAGTCAAATGAATTGAAAACTATTACATTGGACAAAAGTCATTGGTAATTATTAATAATATACCGGTGATTAATATTTACTGATTAATTACACTGACCGTAACATCTGAACAATTTTATATAATCTTTTTACTATAAAAGTTAAGGAATTTGATCAACTCACTTAATCTCTTTAGAGAAATCACATCACGGAATTGTTGTTTTAAGATTTTCCGTGAATTCATCGACTACCTTATAAGATCAAATACCTATTTCTAGCATTATTATACATATTAAATCAAATCTCTGTTTTTATTATCTCCCCGCGACGCTCACATCAGAATCAATTGGTTATTTCAACATATTTGTTAATACTAACATAGTTTAGTAACTATCACAGATAATGTTGGCATTTGAGAAATATATATCTCTGTTTCATTTAAGATAACTTTGTCTTATTTAATGCAGTCGTTCCATATTAAGATAAAATTCTAAAATAAAAACTTGTTGGTGCAGGTATGTAGTATCTAAATGTTCAACTACATCATTAATTGCAAGAATGTAAATACATCGTTTACATTATTTTGTATTGGCTGCTGTAATAAAAAATAATATTGTTTATCACCATTGTTTTTATTTTGTGAGAATTTCATAAAGAAATTGCTAAATTTATAGATTCGTTAATAGATTTTATTACATCCATTATCCATTTATTCATTCATTCATTCTGTTAATAGATTTCACCCGTGGAGGCTCAAGGGATAGACTGTTCGTCTTCCAATCAGGTAAACCGGGTTGGAATCTCAGCGATGGCTAGTTGATACTAATTCCGCATCCGGCTTAAACCGATCACAGCGCTGGCGTAAAATATCCTCAGCATGAGGTTTTCGTGGTTTTCCTCTCCATGTAACCCAAATGCGGATTAGTTCCAACAAAAAGTCCTCCACGAAGACCAGTACTTAATCCTGTAGTTGCCTTGTCTTCTAGATTGAGTTCAAAATTACAAGGCCACGGAGTTAAACTTAGTCGTAAACTCTAAATTGGGTCGGCTGTTCAATGAAGATTATGAAACAAAATTGATTTCATTAAAAATTTGTATAAGTTGTAAACAATTTTCTGTTAACATTAAAGGAAAATAATCTTCAAACTATGTCTTGGAAACAAAAATGTTTTTAAGGGGTGGGGAAACAGTGACGTACAATGTCTCTCAATGCTTTCTGTCAATGCTTTTCTACAGAACAGTAATTTTGTACTGAATGGAGCCAACTGTAAATAACAGTTAAAATAATCTCAAAACGATATGATCAAACAATGAAATCTGAAAATAATGTGAACAGAATGTTTTCAATTTCAATTAAAAATTAACAGTTTTATTTTTTGAGAATATGACTAACTGATTATGTTAGGGTGAGAAAGGTAGGTGGCAGAGTGCTAGTGCTTAGTGCTCACGTGCTACAGATCCAGGGTTGTATACTCAGAACGGAGAAGGTCAACTCAGCCTTTAATCCCTTCAGTGGGTTGATATAATGAGTACCAAGAAAGTTTGGGGATTAAAAAGTGGTGGTTCAGCGTTCGGCTAACAAACCAACGGAACCGTCTGCACCCCAGAGACCAAGGTCAAGAACTGGGATAGGCACAGTAGGCCTTGGCCCTCTATGGGCTATCACGCAACCAAGTTTAGTTTAGTTTCTTAGGGTGATAAAACTACAGCAGCGAAAGTATAACATCGAGAAAAATACAATACTGAGAGCAAGCAGTACATAAAACAAATTTAAACTGTATTGTACTATACTCGCCTGAAGTAAATTTTGATGCGGACAAAATATTTTATTCAGATTATTATATTTCATTAAACTTCTCTTCAATAATAAAAAATAACAAAAAATTCCTTTGTAGACACATGGAAACAGCAAAAGAGAACGGAAATAAAAGTAATTTACCATACTCTTCGTCTGCAGGCTAGAGAAAGTTAGATAGATGACAATCATATTATTTAATTACCTGAATCTGCCAATGTAGTTGTATCAGCAATGTTGTATGGTAGTGAAGATTCTGGAACACTTCGAGCTTCTCTCAATTCAACAGCAGGAGTTGCAGGAACTATACCTCCAGGACGGGGCCATAGGACCCCACCATAGGGAAGAGGGAATGGCTGTTTTCCAGACCACATGTACTCTGCAAAAGTTTGTCTAATGTCAGCTGGTGACAAGGGTTTTCCAGTTGCAAGTCCAAAGGGTGTAGGTCCAGCCGGAGGAACAAATGGTGTTGCTGCAGGTGCGAGAGAGAAGCCTTTGTTCGGTAGAGGAACAACCGGAAAGTAAGGTGGTTTACTGTGAGCCGACTGTTCCGTGCTAGTAGGAACAGAGTCAGTTCTTGAAGAATGCCTCGGCCTCTTGCTTCCATCCCCGCTACCACCGTGCCTGGAGACACTTGGGCAACTTATGATCCTCTTTCTGGACCCGCCATTGAACATCGCTTTGACGTCTTCCCACGCGTAGACAACTTCATCTGGAGGAGATCCACCCAATTTGATGTGTCTCCTCCACGAGTTGAAGTTGGCTGCGTCTGGTTGGACGTACTTAGAGTCTGGTAGACGGTGAGAGTGGAAAATAAATTTGTTTGGAGAGAAGAAGAGGCCACAGAATGTGCACTTGATGCATTTCGCTCTGGAGCTGTTGTAGCGAGAAGGTACGAAAGATCCTCTGCACCCCCAAGCGCAGTTGTGGACTACATCGAAGGCGAAATTGTCCGGTAACTTTGGAGGCTTGGTATCAGCCAGAAAACTCTTGCACAGCCTCTCAGCTTCACGTTTGGTGATGAGTCCGCATCTCCTGGAGGACACGGGCATGGCACCAGCTCGGCGAAGCAGTTCCAGTTGAACAGGTGTACACTGAACGCAGGTTATTCCAAGAGCTACCCGTCTGTTGTGGATCTCGTTGTAGCTAAAGCTCTTGAGAAGAGTATTTGAAATCTGGGCTAGACAGAGCCTTTCGTAACCTTCGATGACTAAAGCTACTATTGGTATGCCGTACAACATGACAGTCCTCACTTCATTGTTGCGGAAACTTGATAGCGGTGGTCCATTGAACAAAGCATTTCTGTCGCTTGTGGTAGAGTTTGGTATGATTTGTGATTTTGGTGCCCTTGGATCCTAAAAGATTTAAAGCAAAAATATGTTATTCTCTATCATAAAGGACAAATAATCATAAAAAAATAAGTTAAAAATGTTAGTTTCATTAAATTATTTCACATACTTCTTCACAAAATGGGATGTACTTAGTCTTATCGAAACAATTCATTCTTTATAAGAGTTTTAAAATAGACTCCTTGAAATTTATATTTATGAAATTTGAATACATCTTGTTTAAAGTCTGAATGGTTGAATTTATAAAAATGGAATGAAGTTCACGCACTGAAACGTACGAAGGAGAGAAAAAATAATAACGTGTACTTAATTTTGTCATTTTAATTCGAAATAAATGAATACAAAATCAACAGATTTATACATTATAAAATATAACATTAGAACGAAATTAGGAAATGATACGATTTTTCTATAAGAGATAAATGCATTTCAAAAATATATATGTAAATCTCAGCGTGCACTTCACAGTCAAAGTAGTATTTTAAACAGTTTAGGCAATATTTCAAGAAAAATATAATATTTTATGCAATTGTTGGTATATTCAGAAAGAAAAATTTACAATATGTTCCGTTATTAAAATAAAGAGGAAAGAAAGAAATTCGTTTATTTACAGACATTTTCATTTTCCGTATTTATTCGTTACTTGAGTATATTTTACATTTTCATACAAATAAAAAGCTTTTAATTGTCCTGATATATATATTTATTTTAGTGATGAGAAATACATCATAAAATGTGAGATATCTATTTTAATATATTTCGAATGTTTTATTCTTTCATTTTATGCTTGGGCAAATAAAAATTTCAGGAATCATATCAAAATAACTACGAATGATGTAATTTGATACCCACAGAAATGCGCAAAGCACCAAAGACATATGAGATATCTTTCCAGAATTTAGGTACCCTCCCTTAAAATTTACTTAAGGTTTGAAAAATTATAGCTCTTATTACCACACATTTAGTTGAAAAATAACAAAACTGAAAAGTAAATTTTTCCACATTCGCCCAAATTTATCATTTATGACCATAATTTATTGTTAATTTTACTAAAATCAATAAAGCTTTTCGGAAAGATTCACTGAGATTTTTGGTGTTCTCATAGAGCCAGAAACACGGTAAGTATTATCACATTCTGGTGGTTTTGACCGTATTTTTTTTTCTTCTCATTTGCAATTCCTCATAGTATACTTTGACCCAATATTTACAGAACAATGAAAAAAGAATAATGATAAAAAGGGGAAAAAAAGAAAAATAATAATAAAAATATAAGTAACAAGAAATCGGAAAAATCCGGAGAAAAGGAAAAAAAAGTTATAAAAAACCGGATTTTTTTATCAGCTCACACGATTATATCCACAAAAAGGAGTGCTTTTCAATATTGTATCAATATAGCCAAAGCAAAATATATCGGTACAATAGTGTGAGAAACACTCAAAAAAAAAAAAAATTTACAAAAAAATTACAACAAATAAAATGGGACACAATAAGTAAAAATATCACGTAAAAACAGAAAATAAAAAATGAAGAAAAAACAGAATAAAACATGAAATGAAATAAATAAAGCGAGTAGCTAATTCAAATGAACGGGAAATTTTCCAAGAATGATTTAAAATATTTTCGTAACAAGATTGCTAGATTGCAAAATATGAAACCAAAAGCGCAAATTGATTTTTTTGAGTGCTTCACACTATTGTATTGATATATTTTGCTTCGGCTATATTGATACAATATTAGAAAGTACTCCTTTTTGCGGATATAATAGTGTGAGCTGATGAAAAGATTATATCTCTTATTTTCCGGTTTTTATTAATTTTTTTCCTTTTTTCCGAATTTTTTTTCCGGTTTCTTGCTATTTTTATTTTTATTTCCCCCCTTTTTTTCATTGTTCTGTGTTTTTTTCCATGTTTTCTCCACATTTTGTACATATATNCAAATAAAATAGAACACAATAAGTAAAAATATCACGTAAAAACAGAAAATAAAATATAAAGAAAAAACAGAATAAAACATGAAATGAAATCAAAAAAGCGAGTAGCGAATTCAAATGAACTTAGATGAACGGGAAATTTTTCCAGAATGATTTAAAATATTTTCGTAACAAGATTGCCAGATTGCAAATTATGAAACCAATAGCGCAAATTGATTTTCACGCATTATTGTATCGATATATTTTGCTTCGACTATATTGATACAATATTAGAAAGTACTCCTTTTTACGGTTATAATCGTGTGAGCTGATGAAAAGATCATATTTCTTATTTTCCGGTTTTTTATTAATTTTTTTCCTTTTTTACGGATTTTTTTCTTCCGGTTTCTTGTTATTTTTATTTTTATTTCCCCCCTCTTTTTCATTGTTCTGTATTTTTATATGTATATCAAAAAATTGAACACTTTAAATTGAAGTATTCCTGAATTGAAACATAAACAATAACTTCTTCATTTAATGTAAAATAATTAGGTATCTGAATTTGGACAAAGATTTTTATTTGCTCTAAAACTGATTCTACTGTTTACACACTACTGTTGCCATAGCCAGGTTTTAAATTTTAATAAAACGCTATAAATATTTTTTAATAGCCGAGCAATTTTATATTAAAATTTTCAATGCGCTTAAAAAATTACACTCAACAGCTCCCAAAATTTTGAAACCCAATTTCAGTATTTTTACTGCATTTCACAATTTTGATGCAATTTTAAAACTTTTAATTTAAAAAAAAATTAATTTGAGGGAAGATAATTTTCTTCATATAAAGTTTTAAACATCCGAAACTAAACAACTTTTAATGCTACTTCTTCGTAACAGGTTTTAAAATTTCTTACAGTCATTTGTCTTACACTGTCTAGGCGTGCAAGTGAAATGTTCTTTCAGGAAAAACCTAATTTCGGCTTCCCTGAACCACGATACAGTAGGAACGCATTTTTAAAAAGTGCCTTTAATTATTTTTCACAAAAACAATAAGATGCTTGAGACGGCATCGCTTTATTTAGTTCGTGTGAGCTCAAGCAAAATTTCGCATTTTGAAGAAGAAAAATACCGTTGCCACCGGAAGAGTATTAATTAACTGCGCTTCTCTCTTAGTTTTTGAAGCATTAAAAGTGATTAAGGATCGTCCAGTGGCAGCACAGGCAAACGATTAACATTGGTCGGATCTAATTACGAACATTTGGAAACTTGAAATGGTTGTTTATGGATGAAAAGAATTAATACGCGACACTAATCGTCTGCGTTTTCCGACAATTAAAACCAAGTAGAGAGCGGTGCACTTTCTTAAAGGAGGAGGGAGTCAACTCAACCCTTCTCACTTAGTTTTGGCTTTACGCCAACTCTATTCTTTTATTACTCTTTCCCTAACTCATTATAAATCCTACAGTCTCCAGGGATGAGAGTGCTTATTAAAACAACTTTCCGAGAACGAAGTTAGAAAAATTCTGCGTTTTCCGGTTCAAATCTAACTGACTAAGTAGAGTCAATATTTAGATTTGCAGTTGGTTTTCTTGAATATAAAAGAGGGATTAGACATTTCGAAATGCGCGCCTGAAAATTTAATAGTTTATAACTATCTTACTCTTTCAATGGAAGTAAAAAAAATATTCATAAATCGTAAACATAATCATATTTGTAAATTTAATTATAATTTTAGTTAAAAATCTTAACTAGAAACTGGATAGGAAATTGAAAATATTTTTTAATTTTTACCAACAATTAAAGTATATCAGGAAAAGTTTTTAAACATAGTTTTTGACATATTGTAGTTTTATAGTGAAACATTTTGCTTTAGATTATTAGCATTGCTATTATTATTTTTCTTTTTAAGAACATTAAAAAAACTAAATATTGATTTCAATTGCTTCAAAAGGTAATGCAGTAAACCGAAATGTTGGAATTGAGAATTTGAACAATTTCGCGTTAAAATACTTATTAAGAAAAGAAATCGAACTTTGGTTAATTCAACGCATTATCTATGTAAAACAAAATAACGATGTAACGAAAATTCATGACGAAAATCAAAGATGAATGTCTTACTTTTACCAAGTAATGTTAAGTCGCAAATTTGTGAATTTTATCTACGAAAATTAAATGTTGTAAAATCATTTGTAAATTTCTAAAAACTAGTATTGATAATTTTTTTAATTTCACTTAAATTCTGTTCAATTTTTTAAAAATTGAATTTTTAAAAAAAAAATTTTTTTTTAAATTTACGGTAGCAATGTGAATTTTTAAAACCTTAGTTAGGTTGGAAAAAAAAGCATTTTTTAAATAATGCAAATTAATCCATGTTCCAATGACAAAAGGACAAGTGTTTCCTAATAATTTAATTTCTCTACTCACAGCAAAATAAAATTTTCTTCCTTTTTATTTCATTTATTTATTTGTTTATTTATTTTATTTTTTATCTTTTTGCTTCGAAAAATTTTAAGACTTTGCAAATTCAATTATAGTTTAAATGTCGTCAAAAGATCAAGTGAAGAATACACGTCTATAATAATATTAATAAAAAAAGCTTCATTCGGGAAAGATCTGATTCTAATTGACTTTTACATTATGCTATTGTATGCATAAAGGAAGTAAATAGGCTAAGAACTCAATAATGTTTTCGAAATAATTTTAGTAAAAGTAAGTATCAGTATTTGAATCAGTATTTAAAAAAAAAAAAAACTAAGCCTTGATGACAAATGAGAGCATTTTCCATGCAAAACTTGCACATGTTGAAGAAATATTTCTTTTCTTTTTTTTTGTGTAAATCAGATTTGAAATCTTTATTATTTTTTTTTATTTTTTATCATCTGATCATCAAGTACCAAATTGAAATCTTCCACCATTAATTTACCTAACACGTTTTAAAAAAAGAACTAATTCGTTACATAAAATAGAGAAAATAAATTTAAAAAAAAATTCGTTAACAAAGCAAGTTGCAGTTTTTCAAGCGATTTTTATATCTCTTGCAATGAGAATGGTTCGAAAGTTTGAAATGAGTTTCTATTAAAATAA